GAACAAAAACAGACTCAAGTTTATATAAGAATTTAATAGCTCATTTTAAAAAAGTCATCTCATATCATTGGGGAAATAAAGGACAATTCAATAAATGGTATTGGGACAATGAGCATAAAATAAATTAAGAACCCTATTTCATCACAGACAAGCATACAAGCATGTGGGCAAACACACACGGTCTCCAGACTGATTAAGGACCTAAATGCAGAAGCAAAATTATAAGCATACTGAAAGAAAATACAGAATATGCTTATGACCTTAGAGTAGAGAAGGCCTTTTACAAATTATCAGTTTTAGCCAAATGAAAAGGTTTAAATGGTATTTTGATGAACATCCATGTTCTCACTATCACTTAAGAAATAAAACATTACAAATATAATTGAAGACAAATAAACAGTTCTTGCCCTTAAGAAGTTTAAAGTTTAGAGAGGTAGAATACACACAAAGCTACAGGAGCACAGAGAATACCCAATCCAGACAGGGTTCAGGAGCACCCAGTCATGAAATAAGGGTAAGGGTTTTCTAGAGAGAGAAAATAACATACACATGAATTATCCATCATCTTTGACTCTAATTGCCAAGTGAAGATTACCAATGGCAAAATCCCAGAGCATGCCAGTCTACCAACCAGAGCTGTGCTATCTGAAACAGCTCTGATGAGTTTACTTTGCACTAGGGGGTACGGTTGGGGGGAATATATAAAGCAGAATATCCAAACAGAATGAGATTGTGCAGAAGGCACCAATATGAAAAGTATTGTTTAGAAGTAATAATTAAGCCAATCTATCTTACAGCAAAGGATGAAACTGAATACTTAAAAGAAAATGAAAATTTGGAGGAAGAACATTCAAATTTTAACAGGGCAACAGATTTACAGTGCTGAAAGGAATGAAACTCCTGCGCTGCATATATATACATGCATCTTTAAAACAATAATCTACATGCTATAGCCATATTTCAACTGATATGGCTCTCCTATTCATGATCAATTAGCTAACTTATTTTTCATTAAATCTAAGATATACTAGATAGCCGCAGAATAAAAAAAGAGACTGCAGCCATTATGACAATATCACAAGTGTTTCTGAAGCCTCCACATTATTGACCATCCTGCTTCTTGAAATTCTCATGGTTCCTGGTTTCTATGTAACCATATAATGTAACTGAATTCTTTCCTTTATCCGCTTTCCTGTCTCCTTTACAGAATTCTCTGCTAGCTTTTATCTCCTGGCTATGAATGTACGCGAAGGTGAAGTATTTGGCACCAACTTTTCTTTTCAAAATACCAAATTCCTTGAAGACATACGACTTCAACTACTACCTTAACAAAATAATTTTAAGAATTCTGGCTTGAATCTTTTTTTAAATTCTAGTTATATATCATCTTCTTGAATATTCTGTCTCAGAATCAAATCAATTTAAAAGGTCTAAAAACAGGATATACATATATGCATGCTCATATACATAAAATGAACACATTTTTAAAAAAATCACAGGGACTTATCTTTTTCCCTATCTACAAATAACTCATCTCTTCAACTGCCATCAGTGGAGTCCATCATTGTGTCTCTTACCTATCCATTACATTGGAGCTTTTCTCAGTCACAAATCATATCTAGTCTTCTTTCAAAATGTCTTTCCCACTTGTCTCCTTTTTACCCTCTACTATAACCTAGTTTGGGCACTGATCACCTCAATACTTTTAACTGCTTTCCTGCTTCCAATTTCTTCCCTCGTTCCCAAGCATTCTGAATGTAATTGTTGGGTGACTCTCTCTAAAACACTACTTTAAACCCATCACTTTTTTCCTCAAAAGCTTTTTAAAGAGTGAATAAGAGTACCAAATATTTTAACTATTTAAGAACCTAAAATTTTGGCTTCAGTGTGCCTGTCCAATGTATCTTCTCCATATTCAAGTCTCTGTATTAAAAAAAAAAATCCTTTCCTCAGACTTCTTCCTCGAGCTACCCTACCACTGTACTTTTAGAGAGAACTGCTTGCAATTGCAAGCAATCTGGCTTTTACTCCGATCATGCTCAATATTATTTTTGTAGTTTCCGAACTCCAAAGCAAATATTTTAGTTTCTCATTTTGCTTGACCTCACCATGCCATTCATAATTTGGTTTTTACCTTTTGTTACTCCCTACTAGCCAGCCCTATAGACTCTAAGCTCAAGCCACAGCAAACCACTGGACTTCCCCTAACATATCTTGCTGTTTCAGTTTGTGCTTCTACATATGCTATTCCCACCTCTACGATGCCTTCCCTGACTGCTTAGTTCTACTAACTGTTTACAACCCAGATGAAACATCATCTCTTCTGTGGAATTACCCCTCACTGTCACAAACACCTTTACTGCCATTGCACTCCTACATATTCACTAATAAGATTCATAACACTGCACTGTAATTGTTTCAAATCTTGATATCCTCCGAATCTAACTTAGAGACACCTATTAGACAATTAAGAGCGGGTTTTAAAAGACCTTCGGCTATGACCACATTAATCTACTCACTGTCACTCAAGTATACTATATGAAGAGGCAGTATGTATCATGTTTAAGAGTTCAGAATCTGAAGCCAGGCTAAGAATGAATTTTGGATCTACCACTTAGCTGGACAAGTTAATTAACCTTTGTATGCCTGGGTTTCCCTATGTGTAAAACCAGGATTAATAAGACCTACCTTATAAGGTTGTGAGGATTAAATCCATTAATGTGGGAAGAGTGCTCAAAACAGTAATTGACAAAAAATAAGCATTAAATATGTATTGGCTATTGTAATGAATATACCTTGGTTATTCCTGATCCTTTCCACATGCCAGTCCTCTGTTAGGTTTTATATTCTACACTCTATATTATGTCCTCCATTCTTTATGTATGATAAATGGGCTTCCTTCATTTTTCCCTTTATCCAAATCTTACCCAGTTTTCAAGGCTGACTTTTGGTAGAGCCCCTGCTCATTCCAATCCTTAAATGATCACTACCTAAATTAAGTATCTATAGCATTTTCTGTATCACTCTGCATTTAATTAAAACTGCTTTGCATTCTTGTAATTTTTCATATATGTTTGTCAATTTTTGTAAAGTCTTTGAAGGTCCTGATGACATCTCATACATCTCTGTGAGTTCCTATAGCAGGTAGTAAGGGCTTGGAATTTGTTGTGTAAAATAATAAAGCACAATAGAAACCTCAACTTTAATCAAACTGCCTTTGCAATCAAAGAAATAGAGAAACCTGTGAGAACATTCCATGCTTCTCTAGGAGTCAACCTGCAAATGTATTAGGGCCAGGGAATTCTGATTCTCGTTAAAGTGAGAAGCTCTGATATAGCTTCTGGGGGGAAACCTCCCTGCCATTGCAGAGGAGTTATGGGTAGCCCTTAAATTCCCAAACCAAATTGTAGCACTGGATTTTCTGTGAGATATGTGACAAATAATTGAGGGCACAAGATTTGGTGTCACACAGATCTAGGTTTCAGAGGGACCTAGAGCCTGTTTCTTTCTCTATAAAATGGACATTTTAACACCTCCTTCACAGGTATCTAACAATCAAGATTCACCCTAATATTTAACTGAAATGCAAACCCCTGGGAAAAAATTTAAGTGAAAATACTGTAATTCATAAATAAATATGAGAACAACATTTTTAGTTACATAAGAATATGCTGTATTAAATTAGCTGGCAGCACTATTTATAACGCTCTAAATTACCTATAAGAAAATCAAACAAGTATATTATTGTCAATAATAGGCTTGAGATGAGGGAAAATTTCCACCACAAAGTTTATCCTCCTTTTTAACACTCCTTCCTGTAATTTTTTTCTTTCACGTGTGATTAAGAACAAAATGTACAAAATTATGCCCACAAAGAAATATTCAGAAAGCACAATTTATCTTAATCTCAACTTGGTTCTATAGCGTAGTATTCCAGTTCATTGTTCAGAATTACTTCCAAGTAAGAATTAACATGAGTTTAAGAAATGAAGATAATGGCGAACAGCTCATATGATGATCTGAGTCAGTAATTTCAAATTAAGAGTTGTTCCAACTTGAAGCTGGCAGTCACACACAGTCTGAAGGGTTTGTTTACAGCACTGATTAAACCAAATACCCTAATCTTTTAGACGACTCATCCTGGCATTCTAATAAATTATTTTAAGGCAGTATACCTGCCGAAATGTCCAATACTTCACAAATTAAACCCAAATGGGTTTCTTTCTGAAGGAAAAAAGAACAAAAGTGGCAAGTCTTATTTTTAACCTGTGATTTTTTTTTTTCAGTTTCAGGTTATGAATAAAATGCTGTTCATCCACTGAAGAACAGAACCTTGCTACTTGGAACACCTTCAAGCTTAGGGGAGGAGGTGAAATTTTAAAAACAGATGATCTGTTCTCCTTAGGATACAGTGAGTGGTATGTGGGATTCGTTAGGAATGAATGGTACATATAAGAGATCAAAGGAAAAGAAACGTTAGTTAATAACGTTTATAAGCATTGTGAACTTCCAACAACGCTGAAATGTTACAATTTAAAGAAGAAAACATGGCTCTGGGGAAGGAAAATCAACCTCCCGGTAGAAAACCGACAGTCAAGTGCGAGGCTAATGGAATTTAAAGGGAAATGAAAAGGGGAATGGGAAAAACGTGGGATCGGGTAGTCAAAAACGGGCACGATCTTGAAGAGAGTTTTGCGGGGAAAGGCGTACGGAAGGGAGGGTGTGTGTGTGGTCGGGGTAAGGTTTGTTCTTAGGACTGAAAAACCGAGGTGACAAAGTTGTGGAACTAGAACTCGGCGGTGCGGGAGAAGGGAGAGGAAGGAATGTGGGGATTTCCAGGCTGAGCTGACAAGTTCGGGGCGCGAGCTGCCCGCCGCTCCTCTTTTGGGGAAGGGAGGCCCCACCGAGTGCCCGGCCGCCCGTCCGCACCGACCGAGCTCTCACCCTCCCGCTACTCGGCCCTTCACCCGGCCCTGGCCCTGTCCCCGGCCCCTCCTCACCTCAGGCCGCTGCGTCTCGATCCTCCGCGCCTCCACAGCGGACGTCCCCCTCGGCGCCGGCGGGGCCGGACCAGTAGGCCTGACGGGCGCGGCTCCCCAGTCAGCTGCGCCCGGGCGGCCCCAGCGCGGCTTCGCCGGCCTCTCGGCTGCTCGCCCCGGCTCCAGCACGCTCGCGGCCCTTTCCCGCAGAGGTGGCGCGCGGCCCTCCTCCCCAACCCCGCCCCACGGCGCTCCCGCCTCGCCCCGCCCCCGGACGCCTGGCCTGTGCGCTGATAGGCCTCTGAGAGACCCGGCGCTCCCAGGCATAGGCCCAGCAGCCGTCCGTCGACGAGGGGGCGGGAGTCCAGAGGGGTTGCGATTCCCGTAACGCGGCTCCTGGCGTCCCGGATTCCGGTGGCTGCGCCCGCGTCGCCTCTCCCAGACGAGATCGAAGGGTTCCCCCCACCTCCCCTCTGCGGGCGGAAGGAGCGGAATGTTCCATTTTTCCGTGGAGTAACGGGGTCATGAACCGAAGGCCGGGTGTTGCCTGCTCCTCCCGCCCTCCCTTCTCGCCAGGGAGCCTTTGGCGGCCTTCCCCGAGCGACCTAGGACCGCGAGGGACCGCTGGGCTCCCTTGGGGACAGAGGCGGCGTGGGAGCCTCCTGGGAAGAGTGAAGGGCTTGGCCGTGACTCCACACGAGGTTGCCGTAGATTGTGGCGGCGGCTTCGGTCCAATTCTCATGTAAACGAAGTTTGCCACGATGTAATTTTTTAAATTGGTAAATGAGTTTGGGTGCGATTGATCAAAGAACCCCAGAGCTGGGGACCCGCCAAAAGACTAGTATTTCTTTGCGGTTTGTACGTCCCAATCTGCGATAAAAATATCGAGTAAAAACCAGTTTCATTACAATTCACCTCCTCTCCCCTCCCTGCCTGGAAAATGGACCTAAAGACTCATGTTGTTATATGTATTTATTCCCAAAGCAGAATGAGAAACTATGTGTGTGTGTGTGTAAAGAGACACACCCAAAGCCCGGGGCGTTTGTGGAATAATGGCAGGCTATAGGAGGATAATAATGGTTAATGAACTTGAATAAATTATATTAGTACCTATGAATTAATAGACAATTACAAGGGTCTTCATTATATTGAGGATTCAGACACAGATCAAATTATGATCTCTTAGTTGTTGATCAGATAATTTTTAAAAGACACAGCAAAGTGGACCTACTAAGGAGTCCTTGGCAAATGGGGACGGTGCTGCAGCTGATGTATTCAGCTCTTGATGCTCCCTGTCATCCTATAGCTAACCTACAGATTGTATTCTAGCTTTGCCATTTATAGGAGTGTTTATTTTAAACAAACTTTTATAAAAATTTGTTAAATTTAAATATTGTATAGATCCAGCAAACATTTATTTGGGGAAATGTATAGTGGTTAAATGTACCCTCTGATTCCAGATTGCCTAGGTTTGGATACTGGTGCTGGTATTTCCCATCTCTGTGACCTTGGGCAAGTCTTTTCAGTTTGTTCATCTGCAAAATGAGAATAATGATACCAACCTAATGGGATTGTTGTAAGGATTAAATGGGTTAAAATATATAAAGTGCTTGGCACATAGTAGGTGTTCAGTAAATATCAGCTGTTGTTACTTTTGAATGTCTACTGTGTCAATGCTTCCAAAAACTTTTTATGTCACAGTATATATTGAAAATGATGAAGCCGGGTGCCATGGCTCATGCAGGCCTGTAGTCCTAGCTACTCAGGAGGCTGAGGCAGGAGGATTACTTGAGCCCAGGAGTTCAAGGTTACAGTAAGCTATGATCATGCTTCTGTACTCCAGCCTGCCAGCCTGGATAACAGTGAGACTTTGTTTCTAAAAAAGAAAATGATGTTATTTCTCTAGAAAGGGGAAGGCAGGTAAACAGAAGGTAATCAATATCTCACAACACAGTAGTCTGGCTTGGCACACTGGTCAGGAGTTAGTCCTTTTATGGATGTCTTCGTGTTAGCTCAGCTCAAGCCCTGCCCCTAAGAAACTCACATTTTATGGGGATAAAGTCCTAGGCTAAAAGGATGAATGAATATTGGAAAAAGATTTTTTCAGAACAGCAGGATAGTAGGAGATCTCTATTCTGCTAGAATTATATAACTTTGCAGACACATCTATACAGTATTGGCCCTGAAATGACCACTTTCAAGGTAAGGATTTGTCAATAGAAAACCCCATAAAAATGTAAAGGTAAGTAGGGTAAAGTGTCTGGTTTTTTTGTTTTTTTTTGGGGGGGGGGTTGGTTTTTTTTTTTTTTTTTTTTGAGACAGAGTCTCTGTCACTCCAGCTAGAGTGCTGCGGTGTCATCATAGTTCACTGCAACCTCAAACTCCTGGGCTCCAGCGATCCTCCTGCCTCAGCCTCCCGAGTAGCTGGGACTACGGGTGTGCTAATGTTTTTAAAAAAATTTTTGTAGAGATAGAGGTCTCACTCTTGCTCAAGTTGGTCTTGAACTCCTAAGCTCAAGCTATCCTCCCAACTTGGTCTCCCAGAATGCTAAGATTACAGGTGTGAGCCACAGCGCCTGGCTGAAAGTGATGTATTAATAGAGAACTTTCTATTTATGTCCTGGGACCATTTGGGATTTTAGAAAAGTCAAGAGCAGAGAATGGGGAACCTGTGCAGTGAGAGGGCAACATGAGAGCACTGAGGTTACTTGGGAGTGAGTAGTTGAACAAATGTAGGAAAAAATGCTATGGAACAAAGGTGATAAATATTGAAGACAATCTTTGCCTACCTTTCTATTTGCCTAAATCTGGTCCTGACCAGGATATCCATTTATTTCCTTGTCTGCCCAGTTGCATTTCTGAAACTCTGTGTCATCTCTGGAACTATCCTCATGTCCTTCATCAATCTAGTGATTTCAGCATCCATGTAGATGACTCAGCACCCTGAGCTCACGATTTCTATTCCTTCTTTCTTTTCCAATGATCTTCAACTTCACTCTATATCAGCAACCCACAATTGGAGCCACACCTTCAACCCAGTCATCAATGAAATTACCCCCTCTCCAAAGTTTTGGGTTATGAATTTTCCTCTCTACCCACAGCCACCTACTCCTCTACCTCTCTTTTGTGCTCACTCCCATTGAATCTGCTGTTTGTCCTTAGTGTGACCTCCAGTCTTTGTTCTCACAGTTTATCAGCTATTTCCTACCTTCTCTTATCTTCCTAAGCAGTGAGAACCCTTTTATCAACCATTTTAACTGCACTTTCACTAGTATCTTCACTTCCCTTGACCTTCAGCCCTGTTTACTACCAGCCCCACCATAACATGTATTCTTAGTACAGAACCTACTTTCATTATTCCCTGGAAAAATCAAGACCATGATTTGTGGGCATCCTTAACTTTTCTCCAACTTAGGAAGCAACTATATATTTATCTTTTTTCTCTTTCTCCCCCGTCTCAGAAGAAAGGCCCCTATTCTTTTAAAAGATCAACTCCTCCTCTGTTGTTGGTACTATTCCTACTAAGTTCAGTCCCCTAGTCTTATATTTTTCATTATTAGCACTATATGCCTTAGAAATGTTTAAAAATTAAATATTAACTCAGTGGTAAGTTGGGGACAGCTTTTCTGTATGTGTTAAAATCTTTGTAACCTAACAGCCCCTAATTCACCAAACAAAATTAAAATTAAAAATAAATAAAAGTCTCAAAATGAGGCAGGTTAGGCTATATTGAAATTCATTTAATAAAGTGAGTTTGGGATGAAATATGAACTTTTTTTTTTGAGACAGAGTCTCACTCTGTTGCCCTGGGTAGAGTACAGTGGCATCTGTCGCCCTAGCTCACTGTAACCTCAAACTCCTGGGCTCAAGGGATACTCCTGCCTTATCCTCCCAAGTAGCTGGGACTACAGGCATATGCCATGACACCCAGCTGATTTTTCTATCTTTAGTAAAGACAGGGTCCCACTCTTGCTCAGGCTGGTCTCAAACACTTGAGCTCAAGCAATCTTCCTGCCTTGGCCTTCCAGAGTGCTAGGGTTACAGACATGAGCCATCATGCCCAGTCCTCTAAAATACGAACTTCAATCAAGTTGTAACTAAATTTCCATGCTAGGAAACAGGACAAGTTCATTTCATAGCAACAAAACTAAGAAGCATTATGACTGCCATTTAAAAAAATTTTATTGAAGAATAATGTATATTTGGAAAAATGAACACATCATAAGAGTACAGCTTGAGGCCTGGCACGGTGGTTCATGCCTGTAATCCTAGCATTTTGGGAGGCCGAGGCAGGAGGACTGCTTGAGGCTAGGAGTTTCAGATCAGCGTGAGCAACATAGTGAGACCCTGTCTCTACAAAAAATAGAAAAATTAGCTGGGTGTGGTGGCACATATGTGTAGTCCCAGCTACTTGAG